TGATGTCACCTTTTTACGGAAGTCGCAACGGTTCGTGAAAAATCACCGCTACTTTATGCAGGCTGTGTGCATTTGATTGTGGACTGACTGTTTTGAAACTTATATGGTAGTTACATAGCACCTAGACCTCAGTTATCATGAAAAAAGCCAGGAAGTTTCAGTTTTGACAATATGGGACCTAAACAGCAGCCGCTGGCTTACATTGTTCACGTTAGCGAGTGTCTAAACAACTGATTTTACTTCCAAGTTTTAAATAAACATGCAAAAATAAAACGATAAACCTTTACTTGGCTAGTTAACTGAAATAAAACTATCAACTGCACATACCTCTGCTGAATCATAACTTGAATGGTGGTCTCGCGCTGATGACGTCAGCACCCAGGTAGGTACGCCCAGGGCACGCGATTCATACGCCCACAGTGGGTTATGATTGGTCGACTGACAGGCTCAAATCTGATTGGCTAAAGAGTACGAGTGTCCCGCGTGGAAGGAGTTCGCTGCCAGAAAGGTCTCAAAATTCACACTCAAATCCAAGGCGATTCACATTCACAGCCCATGATAAACTCCTGATTTTTTCAACATTCAAAAATCTTGTACACAGTTGTACATCTGTGAATTGTGTTTTGCATTTGTGAAACGTATTTTATGAATATATATTCTTATTTTGTGCACGTGAATTGGTTTTGTGAATATATATTTTTTTTCGTGCACATGAATTAGGTTTCATGAATGTGAATTGGGATTTGCACGTATGCATCATGTCTTTTGCGTGAATTATTATTCAGATCAATCTAGCTCCATAGTGTCCTGTAATTAGCATCACATGTGTCTTCAAACTTGTAATCAGTATATTTTTTTCGTGCACTTGAATTATTTCTCATGTATGTGTATTGGGTTACGCATGTGTGCATCGCGTCTTTTGCGTGAATTATTATTGAGATCATTCTGGCTCCATATGTCTATAGTCTCTTTCAGACTGAACTCACACCATCTGATGCTGGCATTTATTACTGTGCTGTTGCTACATGTGGGAAGATACACTTTGGAAATGGAACGAAGTTGATTATTGAAGGTACATATATATTTGATTTTGATATAGAACATGTAGTACAATTTATTTAATACACGAGTTTCACAATTTGAGTTGAATTACTGAAATAAATGAACTTTTCCACGACATTCTAATTTATTGAGATGCACCTGTATCTTCGTTTGACAAATTGATCAAATATTTCTTTATATTTATGTTGGTACATGATCTCCTAAATCTATGTAACCATTTCAGCTTCTTCAGCTTTGACTTTTTGGAGTCCAGTTGTTTTAACCCTGTTTACAGTCAGTATAATATCCATTATTGTGAACATATTTCTGGTGAGACTGATGCACAAAAAAGGTAAATATATTAAAATAAGTTTATAACAAAATTAAGTAAGGTACTAATATTACACTTTTTAAAATCTTTGAAATTCAGATCAGTGTAATTAACATATTTTATTATTATTATCCGAAGAAACTTCAAAACAACCCAGAAATCAAAGGAATCAGGTAATCCTTTTATATTGGATTTGCCCTGTAAATGATAGAGAATTAAAATGAATTAAAATGTTGTTTTAGCAAAGTGTTTTAACAGTTCACAAAACTATTTCCTTCACATTTTTTCTTCTTCATATTAATCAACAAATAACCTATTCTTTCATACATGACAGTTCAAAGATTTGAGGTTAGTAAGACCTGTAATGTTTTTGAAAGAAGTCTCGTATGTTCACCAAGGCTACAGTTATTTGATCAAAAATACAGTAAAAACAGAAATATAGTAAAATATTTATTATTATTATCCTTTATTTTACCAGGAATTATCCCATTGAGATATAAATCTCTTCTATCAGGGAGTCCTGGCCAAAATGGCAGCACAGAAAGTTTCACATACAGATTAGACACACATAAAACAAAACAAAACAAAACAATATATATATATATCATCCAACATCATATTAAAAATTACATAAAACTTTATGCATATTACATATTATTACAATTTAAATTACAATTACATATATTACGTAAATTACATATTATTACAATTTAAAATATATTTAATTGAATTAATTTAAAATAATGGTTTTCTGTGTTCTAAAATATATGAATATTTCCTGTGATGGCAAAATGCTGGTATTTTTATTAAAATCATGCATTACACTACTGATGAAGCACTGTTGCGGCTTTAATTTAATGCTCAAGGGAAAAGTATGGGTAGAGTAAGATAATTTAATTGTAGGTATTTATTTTCCTGTTGTTGTTTTGGTTTGTTTGTTTGAGTGTGTGTGTGTGAGAGAGAGAGAGAGAGAGAGAGTGTGTGTGTGTGTGTGTGTGTGTGCTTTCTATATATGGAGTAATTCATAAAATGCATGTTTTTCCAATTATGTTGTTTGATCGTTATTGTATTTTTCCTTCTGCAGAATGAGGAAACAGATGCGGGGTGGATCACGGGCGGGGTGACGTAGAGACCAGGGAGCTTAAAAGCACGTGCAGTGGATACAGCGGCAGCTTCTGTCATTCAGCGAAGCGCTCTGTGTGTGTCAGTTCTATTTATTGTTGTCTGTCAAGCATAAGCCACGTCTAAGGCGAAAGACAAGCATAAAGGTCGAGAGCAGACAGCATTTTAGACTGTGTGTTCCTCCCTGCCGCACTACGATACGTGTGGGGATACACACAGTTTATGTGTTGTTTGTTTGGGAGCGGAGCTCACACAGTCAGCTCTCGAGGGGGCTGATTGTGCTTCTGCCCGCTGTAAATGCTCAGCTCCCGCCGGGCACGCTTCGAGGAGTGTGTCAGTGCTTGTGATCTTGCGGTTCCAGTCCCGCTGCTGCTGAGGCATGGTGGCGATTGAGATCGCGGGGATCGCTCATGGATCAAGCAGACGGGTTGGAGACGGGCTCGCCCTTTCTCTGCCTGCACTCCCTAGATCTAGCGGTGTGCACTGAATTTATTTAATACACGAGTTTCACAATTTGAGTTGAATTACTGAAATAAATGAACTTTTCCACGACATTCTAATTTATTGAGATGCACCTGTATCTTCGTTTGACAAATTGATCAAATATTTCTTTATATTTATGTTGGTACATGATCTCCTAAATCTATGTAACCATTTCAGCTTCTTCAGCTTTGACTTTTTGGAGTCCAGTTGTTTTAACCCTGTTTACAGTCAGTATAATATCCATTATTGTGAACATATTTCTGGTGAGACTGATGCACAAAAAAGGTAAATATATTAAAATAAGTTTATAACAAAATTAAGTAAGGTACTAATATTACACTTTTTAAAATCTTTGAAATTCAGATCAGTGTAATTAACATATTTTATTATTATTATCCGAAGAAACTTCAAAACAACCCAGAAATCAAAGGAATCAGGTAATCCTTTTATATTGGATTTGCCCTGTAAATGATAGAGAATTAAAATGAATTAAAATGTTGTTTTCGCAAAGTGTTTTAACAGTTCACAAAACTATTTCCTTCACATTTTTTCTTCTTCATATTAATCAACAAATAACCTATTCTTTCATACATGACAGTTCAAAGATTTGAGGTTAGTAAGACCTGTGAAAGAAGTGAAAGAAGTCTCGTATGTTCACCAAGGCTACAGTTATTTGATCAAAAATACAGTAAAAACGTAAAATATTTAATGTTTTTGAAAGAAGTCTCGTATGTTCACCAAGGCTACAGTTATTTGATCAAAAATACAGTAAAAACAGAAATATAGTAAAATATTTATTATTATTATCCTTTATTTTACCAGGAATTATCCCATTGAGATATAAATCTCTTCTATCAGGGAGTCCTGGCCAAAATGGCAGCACAGAAAGTTTCACATACAGATTAGACACACATAAAACAAAACAAAACAAAACAATATATATATATATCATCCAACATCATATTAAAAATTACTTTATGCTTTATGCATATTACATATTATTACAATTTAAATTACAATTACATATATTACGTAAATTACTACAATTTAAAATTTAAAATATATTTAATTGAATTAATTTAAAATAATGGTTTTCTGTGTTCTAAAATATATGAATATTTCCTGTGATGGCAAAATGCTGGTATTTTTATTAAAATCATGCATTACACTACTGATGAAGCACTGTTGCGGCTTTAATTTAATGCTCAAGGGAAAAGTATGGGTAGAGTAAGATAATTTAATTGTAGGTATTTATTTTCCTGTTGTTGTTTTGGTTTGTTTGTTTGAGTGTGTGTGTGTGTGAGAGAGAGAGAGAGAGAGAGTGTGTGTGTGTGTGTGTGTGTGCTTTCTATATATGGAGTAATTCATAAAATGCATGTTTTTCCAATTATGTTGTTTGATCGTTATTGTATTTTTCCTTCTGCAGAATGAGGAAACAGATGCGGGGTGGATCACGGGCGGGGTGACGTAGAGACCAGGGAGCTTAAAAGCACGTGCGGTGGATACAGCGGCAGCTTCTGTCATTCAGCGAAGCGCTCTGTGTGTGTCAGTTCTATTTATTGTTGTCTGTCAAGCATAAGCCACGTCTAAGGCGAAAGACAAGCATAAAGGTCGAGAGCAGACAGCATTTTAGACTGTGTGTTCCTCCCTGCCGCACTACGATACGTGTGGGGATACACACAGTTTATGTGTTGTTTGTTTGGGAGCGGAGCTCACACAGTCAGCTCTCGAGGGGGCTGATTGTGCTTCTGCCCGCTGTAAATGCTCAGCTCCCGCCGGGCACGCTTCGAGGAGTGTGTCAGTGCTTGTGATCTTGCGGTTCCAGTCCCGCTGCTGCTGAGGCATGGTGGCGATTGAGATCGCGGGGATCGCTCATGGATCAAGCAGACGGGTTGGAGACGGGCTCGCCCTTTCTCTGCCTGCACTCCCTAGATCTAGCGCTCTCTCTCGGGGTTCGGAAGCCCGCGTTGGGGTCTCTTCCCCCTTTGAGTGAGAGCTCGCTGCTGCAGCTACCTTTCTCCGAGGAGATTGATATTGTTTGCATATGAGCAGACTGCTTTTGGATCGCTCGTTCTCCCTGCCCTCGCTTAAATAAGGGGTGGGTATGCACGCGATCTATGTGTAATCTGTTTTGGAGCAGAGCACGCAGAGTCAGCTCTTGAGGGGGCTGGGGCTGGCTGTGTTCTTTCTGTAAATGTCCCTAAAAAAAAAGAAAAGGTGAACATTACATTGGATGTTTAGCTCTGCTCACACTGACGTTTTTTCTCGAGGGAAGAAAGTCTTATGCAATGTAGAATCGAGTGACTCGCGCATTGCAGAGGCAACGCGTGCGTACGGTCATTCACGAGTCTCTATATTGAATCTTTATCATAATCAGACTGTGTTTATTTGTCTGGTTGTTTGGCTTCATTTAATTCTGAGGAATTAAATTATGTATATTCATCTGGCTTTGAGAAGTTAGAGATATATATATATATATATATATATATATATATATATATATATATACACACACATATATGTTTATATTATTCGGTAGGGACCGGAGACAGGCTTCACCCTTTCTCCTCCCTCACTCTCTAAATGCAGTGAGCTCTTGGGGAAGAAAAAAAAATTCTCAAGTGAGAGCACACCTCTCTTCTTCCGTGGAGGGTGATGAGGTCAGCAGGGGTTGCTAAGCGGGAGCAGCCCCAGCCGTGGTCCAGCTCCTCATTTGGGGAGTGTCGCTTCTCGTACTCCCCCAAAATATCGGAAGTCAGAGTGGCGCTCCTGGGCGAAGGCTTCTAAACAGAAGGCGGATCTGCAGACCGTTATTCTCGCTGGATAGTCTTTGACTAAAACATGATGACGCCTATGGCCCAGGACG